GGCATTTTCCTAGGAATGCTCTAGGCTTTGTCTAGATTTTGTTATGTTTTCGGCTGGAAACGCACAACACAGACACCGGCTGCCTCTCACCCGACCACTTGGGTGATCCTGCATTTTGCTCCAGGGGTGCTCCAGGAAACCCTACCCTCCCCACATCCAGGGCAACGTCCTTCCTCCCACCGTGGAACCACCCGCTTCCACGCCCTTCCGTCCCCCCCCCCCCCCCCCCGGCCTACCGCACTGCAGGCATTCCGCCACGCGCGCGCGTGCCACCCGCATGTACATGGCTACGGTCTCTTCCCTTGCTGGCGCGAACACCTCGCCACCACCTGCCCAAGCTTCCGTTTGCGCTGCTCCGTCCTAGAACCAACACGCCACATGGCGCGGATACGGGCGCCTGACAGACACGCGAAACTTTTATCAGAGCCTTTCACGTTACCACGGGCACTGGCCGGACCTCCTCCAGCGCAAAATCTAAACAAAGCCTAGAGCATTCCTAGGAAAATTCCAGGGCATTTGCCGGGAACACTGGATTCAAATAGGTTAACAATAGATTAATCAATTTTTAGGGAAATCTGGGAACCTAAACACAAGAGGAAGTCCTAGAAAATTCTACAACAATGGAAGAAAATAGGTTCGCAATTCTCTACGCATACCTGGGAAATCCTACAACTCCCTTTTACAACAAACCCCGGGTCCGGAAAGGTCAAAAAGTAAGGTCTGAGTCTAAGTCCAAGGCTAAGGCAAGCCTATGGCTAAGGCTAGGCACGGCAAGGCTACGGCTTGTGGCTAAGGCCTGTCTTTTTGGGTACCTGCTTTGGTGGTGCTGGGTTGGGTCTAAATTGGTAAACCTGGGAGGTACCCAAAAAGTCGACTTTTTGGGTACCTGCTTTGGTGGTGCAGGGTTGGGTCTAAATTCTTGGGCAATGATCGGGGTTCATGCAAGAGCTGACGTCCGATGGTAAATGTGGGAGGTACCCAAAAAGTCGACTTTTTGGGTACCTGCTTTGGTGGTGCTGGGTTGGGTCTGCACTCTTAAGGCTGAGGCTAAGGCTTAAGGCTAAGGCTAACATAGAGCAAGGCTAGCGCTAAGGTTCTATCCCTTGGGGGTCGGCGGCTGCAGGCGGTAGCCTGGTAAATATCTCAACTCCACTTAGCCTCACATGGTTTCCAACTCAAGTGACACCCATTTTGCTAGGCCAACCTTAGCATCTTGGTCGACCAAGGCACGGCGGTCTCAAGCTGCCTTCCGGCAGCCGTGGAGGTACATCTCGAGCCTCCCGGCCTTCCTGGCAGGTCTGGGTTGGTTGTTTCCTTCGTTTTGGGGAAGCAAACCCATGGGCCCAAGGACCAACCCTTCAAGTGCTTTTATCTTGGCCCCAGCAAGAGTTAGAAGTTGGAGCTTAAGGTAGTAGGGCCTAGTGAACTAGCATATGCGAGCATCCTGGATGACCTGCATCCTGCAGCATTGCCCGCTGAGTCCACGGCAGGTTTGCTAGCTGGACTACCCTCTGGTAATCGCGGAGGTACATCTCGAGCCTCCCGGCTCTCCTGGGGCCCGCGTGTTTCATGCGCACACGCAGGATCACGCAGGACGCTTCATTCCTTTGTCAACTGGGGCGGTACTGATAATGATAGGGAGTCCAATGGGGACCAACCAACCAATCCTCCAAAAAGAGATTTCAGTGATTTCTGCTCCCAAAATCGAAGCTCCATGGTTCATGAATGAATGTTAAGATATGCCCTCTGAGTGTGCTGACCGGTTTTGCAGCTGGGCTCCCTTCGGGCAGCCGTGGAGTTCCCACCGATGCGCGAGTCTCACGGCCCTCCTTGGTCAGATCGGACTCCCAAAGTCCCCTTGGAGCCCAACATGGCCCAGAAACAAAACAAAGGGGAACGCGAATTCCTAAGGTGTTCAAGCTCTAAGACTCTACACTGTCTATGTTGTCGGTGATCTACCGGGCTGGACCTTGAATCCGAATTTCTGCCTCAACGCCCCCTGAGCGTTTGGCTGTTGACTTCGCCGGGCTGCACGCACGGTACCCTGCGCCAGTTTGGCCATGCGGACTTGCCATGACTCAAAGACCAAAGCTCTCTGCTTTCTGCCAGTGACTGACACTAGCAGTCGCGCCGCCAACTAAGGGATCGGGACTCCAGACCAGATTCCGATCTTTCTGCACACTCTTTCTCGCTCTTTTCCAACGAGTGATCAAAGTCCGCAGTGCTCCAGGAATTGTGGAAGTCCCCCCCCAAAACCGACCCAAATTGCGCACCTCCTCCGGGCATTTGGAACGGATTAGGGCGCGACCTGTAGGAACTGATGGACGCTTATTGCGGGGATGCCCCGAAAAGCGGTCCGTTTTTTGCAAAAGCCTTCATGATGAAAAACAGCGACCAGTGTGGTATGGCGTGTGACGATTGCTGATTCTTCTTCGTGCCATGATGCCATGAGTGCTTATTCTAGATTCTAGGACAACGGCAGTGCATTCACAAAAGCTGCACACGAAAACAACATCAAACTGTCGCCATTGCAGATCTCTGCTTAAGTGCATGGCCCTTGCAGCTGTCGGTACAGTATGAAGCCCAACAATTAAGGTGTTCAAGGCTTGAGCGACTTTGCAAGAGCAGAACAACTGTGAGACATCTTGTGTTTGCGTTGGAAAACCCTCGGACATCAGCCTCTGCCGCGGTGCCTGAAGCGCGGCAGGTGTGATTGATCAGTGCTCGGTGGCGTCACCCTCGTGAGTGCGGATTCTGACCCAAAGCTAGGTCGGGATGGTTCGGCTGCGGGTGGGAAGTCATTAAGCCTAAATTTTTGAACAACACCTTCCGCTAAGCTTCCTACGACTACGAAAGAGTGGCCACTGTGCGCTAAGCTTACCAAAGGGTAGTATTATACCCTGATCCTCATCTGTGCTATGTTAATGAGATCAGAATCTCCCCAAACCCAGTGTGTCCAAATCCAGCCCCGACGGTGTGACGCTTCGAGACCTCGAACCAGAAAATCTCTTCTACAACGCAAACTCCCAAGGTTGTAGAAGAAGATGTTCTTGTCCAACTGTCCCTTCTACAACGCGGTTCTACACTCCCAAGGTGTTGGTTCCAATGTTTGGCTTGGCCTAATGGCCTAAGGTCTGTCCTAGTTCCTGGCGCTTCCCCTTTTGGCCCCTTCCATCGCCTCCTCAGGGGGCACCTGGGGTGCAATCCACATGGCCAGCTCCATGAGGTGGGTTGATTGGAAGAAGCCCTCCAGCCATGGATGCGCCTCACCGGTGAGTGGTGGAATTCTGTGCACCGAAATGAATGAAGCGATCCAGTCGCCATCAACTCATCAGATCTCTTGCTACCATGTTTTTCAGAGTCAGCAAGACCTACGACCTAGGTGTGAATCAAACATGAGTGGACTATAGAGCTACATAATGGAAGTACAGTACTTCTATATAGATTTGTCGACATACACTGGGAAAGATCTGTTCCGGAATCTTCATCTTGTGAGTCACTTGTGAGTGCCATCTGCAGGGATCATAGGTGCAAGTTACAAGTATCTACACCCATGAAACACGTACTTGCTTGATGCAAAGCACATGAACTCACGCCGGATGTTTTATGCATGTCAAGTTCAGTGAACATGTTGGAATCCCCCAAAGTCTGTGCCTGCAATGTTATTTATTCAAGTAGGAACAGGTGCCACGCTTCTAGTAACAAGTGCATCGCTAGTAGTAGTAACAAGTGCCTTACTAGTAGTAACAAGAAGCTAGTAGGAAACATAGACTGTCACGGAAGGACCGGTTGAAGTCCCCCAACCCTGTCCGCCCGCGCGCCTTCATGGTCGAGGCACCGGGTCGAACCTGGGGATCCTTCTGCAAAGCCTACAGCACACGCATGTGCACGCACATGAAACGTGACTTTTTGGTCGAAACGCAAGAAAGGTCTTCGACATGATTCGACCTGGGTGACTGCTTTGGGCGACTTTCTGCAGGTGTCCAAGGACAGTGACTTGTTCCTTCTAAGGTTCGAAGGTCTGTACCATCTGACTTTGATCCACTCTCGCCTCTATGGTATGCTAGCCACACTGGTAGCTTCATCTTGCCCTTCCAACATCGGGCGGACTGGAATGTTTGCCGCCCACGGGCCCTGCCTCTGGAGCTCGCTACCCGTTGAAGGTTCAGGGTGCTACATTGAGTCAACCAGCGGTAGGGGTAAAGCATAGAGTCTAGAACAAAACTCACCAAGATTCGGCAGCCGAAACGAGACCATACCAGACCCGAACAGGATCAGTCGGACGAAGTCACGAAGTATGGACCATCTTTTTTTGTAGGGATGGATCCGTAGCCTGCAAGCTCTTTTGCAGAGGTGATCATAGCACGGAGATGACACTGTTTTGTGAAAAGTGCCCTTGAACTGGGGGTGTCACGGACCGAGTCCAACAGGGTTGGTCGAGTCCGCCTGCTGGAGGAAATCCTGCAGCTTGGCGCTGTGCTTCGGCGGCAAACTGGGAGGCTCATCCCTCGGCCGACAGCGCCGCACCAGAAAAGGTTCAGACATCGCGTGAGGGCACACAATGCCGCTTGGTTGCTTCATGAAGTTAAGGGGATCTGGCAGATCTGTTCTACCCACTGCAGCAAGATTGATTGGCCATCAGATCTGCCAAATTGCTTCAAAGAACCAGCGTCTTGAAAATGACAGGGACGTTTCCGGGTCAGGCATCATTGTCTGCACGCCCGGCAAAATTGACACATGGCACCCGGGCGTGTCAATACGCTTCATGAGCTCCCAGACTGTCAGCTTGCTGCTTTCCTGTGTAAGGAGGTAGGGGGCACTCTGAAAATCCCATAACCCTCCAAAATATCGTAGCGCTACCTTGCATCTGTAGAGTATGTCCCGATCGGTCCAACTGACAAGTCAAATATGACACCTACCCTTGTGTCTTTTTTCTTGGTGTCTTCCGACGTGTCGTCCACTTGTGGGATGTGTCTCCATTACACCCGCCCACTTTTACATCAGTCCTCCTCCCGCGAGTACCTGGCCCAACGTGACACAGATTGAGGTTCGAAAATCCGTTTCGTTCCGTTAGCGCACGGGTATCGCATCAGGATGCACTCCATCAGCGTGAGACCCAGGCTCCACCTCAGCCAGCAACTGATAGGGCTGCTGAGAAAGAATGCTTTGATACTGTAGCATTGGCGTAGCAGGCCATGCAAGCCATAGCAAGCCCCATTTGCCGCGTGGATCGGTGATGCGGTTTTCACTCTTCAGGCTCGAGCGTGTCGGAGTTGTACTGGTAAGGCTTTCCGACCACACGTTCGGGTGACATGTAGTGTATGGTTCCAACCTCAGCACCGAGGCTCAGGGTCATGCAAACAACTCACAAGCATCTAGCTTGAATGTAGATCTTCAATGGGTTCCTCATGATCTTGGCCTGAGCGAGTTAAACTTGATTGCACCTGTTTCAACATGACCGCCCAAATCCGTCCAAAAGCCCCTTGCTTCACCTCCAATCAAGACAAAGCCCCTGGGGTGCCCTCACAAAGGTGACCTTGATCTTCTGTTCCAAGTCGTCCTCCAGCTCTCCAGAGACTCCAAAATCTGTGATCTTGACGATGCCTGTAGTACCTTGCATTGCCCCGACTTGCTTGCAAAATCAGAATCTCTGTCACCCCATGGGAGGATCCGGGAAACGTTGCGACCGATCTCTGCCGGGCGCAGAGATAGAAGATTGGAATGAGACTGCAATTGGTCGCCGAAACCCACCGTTGTCAGTCTCTTCAAGCTGCTTCCAGCACTTGGGTTCATCCTGTGTTCCCAAGGTGTCCCAACTTGGGACCCCAACTGAGCAGCAAGTTCGATGGTTTGATGTCTCGATGGATCACATGCATCTCGCCTTAGCGAGGGGGATGAAGAATGAAATGAGCACCCAAGAGAAGAGAAATAGGAGTTTTCATAAGTTCTGGGGGCGTGAAATGGTGTTTTTCCTCTACTGGGCACTGGCTCGTCACAAGAAATAATAGTTCGAAGAGAGGGAAACACGGATTGTGGAGTAGCAACTCTCATTTTGGCCTCTTTTTTTTGGCCTGTTCTTTGCACCCACCTGCGCTTCTTGCAACTCTGCTCAAAGTTTGGCTTAGCCCAGTTGACCGGTTTGGCACTCGTCCCGTCCAAACAATCTGTGGGGTCACCGTGTGAAAAAACCATCCAAAAGTACAAGAGGTTAAGAGTCGACTTGTGATGTTTCAAGGGGCGTCCGTGACTTGAGACACTGGCCGTGCAAGTATTCCAGGCCATCGAGCACCTGCGCTGCGGTGCATTCGACCAAGTGAATGAGTTTGCCAACATCAGAAACAACCGAACAAATTACCAAGAATGCCATCTCTTTGCAATTTTTGGACAATGTTTATTCCCACCAATCATCCTCTCCGGCCGTACCTGCCAGGTGATGTTGGCTAGCAGCTGCTCAGGTGCTTGAAAGTCAGCATTCTGAGTCATCGCTGCTGGATGTTGCAAGTGGCAAAAGTGAAGTTTCTAAGAGCTCGTTCCGTTTTTCGGGGGGGGGGAAGAAAGTCGCATCCGCTTTTCTCCAAAAAGTATACTGTTAGGGCTCTATAATGGAAAACAAGAGCTGGCCACACTCACTGGCCGCGCCCCTGAACTCTGTTGGCCGCGCCCCTGAACTCTGCGGCTGGGCTCTGTGGCACGGCTCTGTGTCCTCCTCTTGTCCTTGTCGTGGCCGCGCCCCTGAACTCTGTGGCACGGCTCTGTGTCCGGGCCGTCTTGTCCTCCTCCTGTGCTCCTCGGTCAGCGCTCAGCGCGCGCTCGGGGAGCGTGCTTTGGAGCGCTTGCTTCTTGGGCGCGCGCCAGGCGCTCCAGGCGCGCTCGGGGAGAGTGCTTACTTAAGGGCCTGCGCTCCGGCGCGCTCTGTAGATGTGCTGGCAGCGCGCTCCGGGCGCGCTCTGCAGGTGTTTGGAGGGCATGTTACAGATGCGCTCTGGACCTGGAATGCGCTCTTGTCTAGTCTGGCGACCGCCCTCTCTTTAATTCGCGTTCAGGTTTTGCAGCGCTTGGGAGCACGTCCCAGCTTTAAAGACTGAAGGACTATCAAGCTACTGTAGAAGAGGAATAGTTCCACGTGGCTTGGAGTTGTTCTCCAAATAGTCTGCTGTTTGGGCTCTGTCTTAGGAAAACAGGAGCTGGCCACACTGGCTGGCCGCGCCCCTGAACTGTCCCCTGGCCGCGCTGGTCCTCTTGTCCTCCTCTTGTCGTCCTCTTGTCCTCCTCTCCTCCTCCTCTTGTCCTTCTCTTGTCCCATTGTCGTCCTCTGGCTGCCTATTGTCCTTCCCTTGTCCTCCTCTTGTCCTTCTCTTGTCGTCCTCTTGTCCTTCTCTTGTCCTCCTCTTCTCCTCCTCTTGTCCTCCTCTCCTCCTCCTCTCATCCTCGTTTTGTCCTCCTCGTCCTTTGGCCGCGCTGGCGAACCCTGTGTCTTCCTCCTGCTTCTAGTGTCCACGCTTGCGAACCTCCTGGTGTTCCCTGCTGTCCTGGTGCCACGGTCGCAATCCCCGTGTCCTTCTTTTTGTTGTTTGTCCAGGTCTGCCTGTCCTGCTTGTCCACGTTATAAGCCTTTCTATCACCGCCTTATCCGGGCCTTGTCCCCTGCTTGGCCACGCCGTTTGTCCTATCTCCACCGCCTTGTCTGGGTATGAATGCAACAGTGATACAGCGATCGAAATGCGATATCACCATCGGCTCTTCTCATGACATATATATCCGGTATCCCATCGTTTTGCACATGTGACACAGACATCAGGAACTGGTGTTTTCAAAAATTTCGAGAAAGCCTTTCAACAAAAGGGGTGAGAACACGAGAATGCTAAATATTGCACACTCGAAATCAAAGATATAAAGAGTACCGTTACAATTGAAGATAAAAGCTGTGTGCCTCATCCAATTCAAACCACGCTTGTTGGACCTGTTTGATTATGGTTCATGCATGGAGTTGTAATAATAAAGTCTCTTTATTCACCAACAATGTGGACACACTTAGGGGTTCTTACGGTGGTGGTAAAGCAACTGATGCTTAGATCGCTGAAGTGCGCGGGCAGACATGAGGGCACCAGCCACAACCACACTGCTCACCTAAACTTTTAACTCATAATCCCAAGAGAAATTTATGAGACACGACGATTTGAACATTTCGAACGTGCTATCCCGGGGGACATATGTACAAACACACTATAGTCAATCACCACAGTCACTCCACTTACACGAATTTTGAAAATATGTTTAAAAAGAAAACAAACCAGGAAATATCTCCAACGCCAAAAAATGACTACAATATATACCACTAAGTGGGAGCAAGTTGTTTAGGTGCAGTTCCCAAACAGCTGGAGGCTTTAGAAAAGTATACTTGCATTCGTTTCCACCAACATTGGAATTTTCGGAGTTGACGCCGACGCCGAACAAATGCTGACGCTGTTTGGGGTCTATGCTGGTATAATTTGAGAGGGAAAAACAAGTCGCTTCCTCTAACGATTCCTGGATATTCCTGGCGCATCCTGAGCATCCAGCTGCTCTCTTCTTGGCCGCAAGGATCGAAGACAGCGGCCCTGCGTTCATGTACCTGGCAGACGAACATTCTGACAGGAACTGCGGCCATGTATAGCAGAAGCAGGTGGGCAGCTGAAGCCTGGTGAGACTCAATTGAAAAGTACATAAAGTACTTGGTACAGGGACGATTCGCTATTCTACAACTATATAAAATATATAGTGGCTGCTGCGGTGTCAAATCTTGTCAAACGTGCCACCAAAGAACACCAGGTCACATACCACTCTGAACCCCATTCACTGCAATTCAATCTCTATATGGCTTTAGAATGCTTCAAGAAGATTCGTGGCCGTGGACCGGCGGCAAGCGATGCTAGGTGCACTCCAGCGCCATGTATATCCGATTGTCCTCAGCTGCCAGCGTGTCTGTGTGTAAACTGAGCTGCGCTTCAGCACATTCTCGAGCAAGGCTGGCCTGATGCCACCTTCCACCTCGCAGTAGCCTCTCTCTGCATCATCGGTCGAGTGCCGCAGCACATTGCAGTCAACATTGAGGCCCAACCCCCCTAACACAAACGTCCGCAAATCGCCAACGCCAAAACTGCCAAGGATCATGAAAAAAGGCGCCGTAGTAGTCGACCTGTCATCTGATATCATCTGTGAAAGTGACAACCCCCAAACCTTAACTTACTGTGCTTTCCTTTACCTATAACCTATAACTTTATTAATATCCTTCTCCATTCGCCGGGTGGCTATATGCGGACTTCTGCACTTTGAGAAGGTCCTGCAAGCCATAAGCAGAAATGTTGCTACTAGTCAATTGTTCAAGACATAGGCACGAACTGCTGGGGACCATACGGGGCACAACGGAAAACAAAGCGGGACAAAATTACAAAATGCATTGAAGGCTTAACATAGGCTTTGTCCCAGGAAGTTTCACTATCACGAGGCATGTGACATGTGAAACAAAATGCATGTTATTCTTGGTAGATCTTTGACAGGGACGCGCTAGGTCCTGAGCTCGAGCAAGATGGCTTTTCGCTGTGGCTCAGCAATGTCCCCGGCCTGCGCTTTTGATTCAGGTGAGACATGGTCAAACAAGGAAACTGTGAAGCAAACTCCCAACAATGAAGTTTGACTTCCCTTCTCCAAACATCTCCAAAATGTTTCTGGGGGACCATCATCTCAGATCCAAACCTCAAGACCATGGCGCCGTCGTCACGGGGTAGCGGAACAACTTATGCGAAAAAAAAATAAAAATACGGAACCACCTGCATGATCTTCAAAGCCAGCTCACGGCCGCTCGGGACATGCCGGTGTTTTTCCTGGCCACACGCTCGGTGGAGACAGGCACCCTTGCAAGGCTTTCGTTCGAAGGGGCCCGGATGTGAGGGCTTGCACGGCACCGGCTGCACAAGACGCAGAGCACGGTGGGGAGTTTATATATGCACGTTCAGATCAATGCCACCATCTCCCGTTATATAGCTTCAGCTTCTCAAACTGGCCCATTCCCGACCCCACAAGCCTGCCTGCCTCTCGCGGTTCGACCGTGTGATGAGCCCTACTGTTTCTTTTTTCTCCTCAGCCGCTGTCAAAGGTCACTTGGAGCTGCACGTTCGGACACGCCTCTCGAAACTGCACCTCAGCTGGTGAGCCACGACAGACGCCGGCGACGCCGCGACGCCGTAGAGTCGCAGCGAGACGGCAGGGTTCATGGGAATTCGTTGGAGGTTGACCCAATTGGTGGGGACGGGATGATTCACATCAGCCATGATGCCATAGCCCACACGCAGCTAAGGCAAGGGGTATGGGTGACATGCAGCTGCAGCTGGCCGGTGACGTCCCGCAGCGAGACAGCAGGTACTTGGGACAAGGTCTCCAGGACCGAGCTCCTTGGCCGGGTGGCACGAACCGAGCAGATCCGTCTGCCAGAGGGGTTCATACCTCGGATCTTCCAAGAAGGCGGGCAGTTCTGCCTTTTCGTCCATACCAACCAGCCAAAGGGCAAACACTGTGCACGGTTGGAAGACCCAGCTGGTTGAGGCTTCATCTTGCACCCCCACCGCTTGACCCTCCAAGCCAAGG